TATATATATATATATGTATATATATATTCCTGAAAGCTTCTTACAGTCATTGTTCTCCACATATATGTTAAATACTTTGATGTAGCATTATGACAATATGTTTTTAGGCCAGGATGATTATTTTGTACACTGTCATCTGTATTTAAAAAATGTATTCCTGAAATATAACAGTATATCAAAATATATCATAACTATAAAGTATAAAAAATAAATATTTACAATCATAAATTAGTATAACAGTATTTAGAAAAAGAGAATGCAATTTTTTTTCTTCTATCAATTTTAAGTTGTGAAAAGGTTGAATGTTAACAACTTGATAATAAAACAATATTTTAGGAATATAATTAAAATAACCTTGCATATCTTAAACTTATCATGTTAAGGAAATGGATAACAAAGTATAATTAACTATTAAACATTTTAATAACAAAATAAGCAGCCATGACTGTGCACTCTGTTCGGAGCATTTTAAAGATGAAGAACATATATCGCCTGACATATGTGTTATCATATAGCTAATTATCAACATTATATTATTGTTGCTTTTCTCAATTGCACAATTTCTGATAACAAAATCATCAAAGAGCTTATCTTCTGGTCAACGAAGAGGTTAACTAAAGCTTACTTGGTTCGTCAAGAATGCGACGTGCTAACGCATATTGAGACAAATAGAGACACAGAAGAATCCATTTCGACAACTCAGCTGCGCTATCCATTCTCCGGTTCAACGAAATTTTCTCTCACATTCACTAGTATTATTTTCGCCATACAAATCACTGCATTCCGTCTGTACTAAACCGGTCAGACCGAAAAGTCGACAAAAAGAAAGATTTAAATATGAATTATCGAATTGTTGAGAGAAAACAGATGCAGCAAATCGATCTTTATCGACTGTTCGAGTTTTGCGAGATGAACGAGATCTCGCGAGCCGAGATGCATATGCTGCCAACCGGAACATTTATGTGTATATAATAAAAACATCTGTTTCTTTTTTATTCATACACATCAAGAACATCTGTTTCTTCTGTAATTGATTCTTTTGTGTCTTTCTCTCTTCCTTTCTCTTCTTTCCCTAAATCTTAATTCTCTATCTATTTACGTGATTTTATACTAGAAATCGTAACGTAAGAGTGCAATTGAAGTAAACAAACAATTTAGATGTAAAGTCTCAAACGTAATAAGTTGACAGGAAATAATTTTTATTGTAAAAATTGTCGGACTCTTAATAACGAATTAAATCGAATTACATCTTAGATTCTAAATATAATGAGTCAATTTGTTACAGTACAAGGTAAATGCATACAACCGACATAATTTAAATGGTTTTATCAATGAAGGCAGCGTCAATTTGAAAAATAAATTGCTTTTTAATTTTCTTTTCTTCAATATCTTAGTTGGCCAGTGCGGGAATCAAATAGGATCAGCTTTCTGGCCTTTAGCCTTGCATGAATATGGCATTCAGACTACTACTGGTGGTGTCAATTTACTTAAAGTACAACGAAATCATGTCAAACATATTGGCGATCTTTCCGATGCCTTTTCTAGTTTCTTTTATATTCCAAATAGTAAATCTAAATTGCATTTTCAAGATGTAGCTGACTTAAATGCAGCTAAAGTTAAAGCTAGGGTGTGTATTTAATATTACTCAATTTAATTTCTTAAAACTGCAATAATAAAAGTTATCACATATTTTCTAATATTTAATAATAATTTTCTGAAGCAGGCTGTCTTAGTAGATATGGAAGATAGTGTTCTATCTAGGTTTAAACAAGGTCCATTGCGTCAGTTATTTGATCAGACATGTATTGTAACGAATTACCCAGGATCTGGAAATAATTGGTAGTTTGTGAAAAAAAGACATTTATATGTTAAATAACACTATAAAAATTCGCGGTGTAATAATTTGATTTCTAGGGCAATAGGATATCATGTTCACGGTAACGATTATCATGATCGTTTAGAAGAAAGTGTAAGATGCATAATTGAAAAATGTGATCGACTTCATGGATTTTTATTGATGCATTCTTTGGGAGGTGGCACTGGATCTGGATTAGGAACAGCAATCTTAAAACTATTAAAAGATAATTATCCTCATGTAGAAAGGTGCTTTTTTAATTAATATGTATACTTAGATTAGATTAATTAAATCTTAAAACTTGATTATATATAATAACTTGAGAATGTAAAGATCAGAGATTATATGATCATCGATATTTTAGAATTGTTAACAAATAAGATTTAATAATTTTAGAATTGTGTCATGTGTATATCCAGCAAATACACAAGATACCATAACTGCCCCTTACAACACATTACTTGCAACTCGAGAACTTATAGAATATGCCACATGTGTACTTCCTGTAGAGAATAAAGCTCTCTTAGATATATGTAATGCTCAAATAAATAAACGAGATAACACGGGCCAAACAAATTATAATGCCTCGTGCAAACCGTTTCAAGATATGAACAGTATCATTGTCAATATGCTCTTGCACTTGACTAGGTAATTAAATTTTAGATATGTGATTACAAGATTTGGCATTGTGAAGATAACAATTTGTTTTAGTGGATCCAGGTTTCCAGGAAGCTTAAATATGGATATGAATGAAATAGCTACAAATTTAGTACCTTATCCAAAATTACATTATATATTCAGCAGTATCAGTCCTGTCACTTTATCTGCTCCAAATATGTGCAAATATATGCAAGAAGCAAAGTATATTAATTTCCTCTTTCTTTCTTGTTCTTTTAAATTTTGTTTGAAATTAAAAAATAGCAAAATAATTAATTTAATATTTAAGATTGCAGGACGAAGTGTTTACGAATGCATGGTCGCGAAATAATCAATTAATTAGATTAGATCCACTTCAATCTACTTCAGTCATTCTTGCTGCAGCGCACATTGCGAGGGGAAATACTACCTTGACTGATATAAAACGAAATATCGAAAGGTTTAATCTCTTTTACTTTTTTAAAAATAAACATATAGTAATGTTCAATCATTATTTTATATTAATTATATTATTTTTCGTAGATTTCAAAACAAATCAAAATTTACTTTGTGGAGTAGGGATTGTATGAAAATAGGATTATGTTCGGTTCCTCCAGCGGGACATTCATCATCATTATTATGTCTTCTTAATTCATCTGCTATGTCTTCATTATTCAAAGATATAATCCGAGAGTTTTCTAAATTATATAAGAAAAAGGTACACTATAATGAAAACTAACTTCAATTTAAAAAAAAAACGGGCATAACTTTTTAGTTTCTGAAATCGTTCATTTTTGTTATTCTTAAAATATATCATTCAATAAACAAAAATAATTGCGAAAATTTTTCAACATTAAATTCATGATTGCATGATTATAAAATATACATTTTATTACAAATTGGAAATTGCATTTTAGGCACATGTTCATCACTATACGCAAGTACATGGATTCGAAGAAACGCATTTTATTGAGAGCAAAGAAAATATTCTCAGTTTATGTGAATGTTATGCAGAAATACAAAATATGGAAGAAACAAGTATCTCTAGATTGCAAGTAATTTAATCAATTTGTAAAAAGAAGATGAAAAAGAAGATAGAATTTGAATGAATCTTATATCATTTGTACATAACAAAAAATTTTTCTGCATTTATAATTAATATTTATTAATTTATTAATAATTTTTATGTACAACATATAATATTTATTTAATAAAAATAGTGACTTTGAAGACAGTAACAAAAATCTATTGATACAGAAGTAAACTAAATAAACTTTTACGCAAGTTACGTCAACAAAACGTTGTTAGGGCATTCATTTGTATTGCGTGAATATCGATTAAAAGCCGTATGTCTTGTTTTTTAAGGATCTTACGTCTTTGGGCATGCATGCGAACAATCTTAAGCTTATATTTGCCTTATCTATAAATTTTGATGTATCTTTAAATTTAACTAGCAGGTATTTGTGGCAAGCCAAACTCGTCCACTGGAACACCATCCTGTAAACACATTTAAAACATACGTACATTTTATCAGTTAGAAACTTGAGCGATTTTTATATGTAACATAAATTGTATGTATCTTCTCTCTCTTATTCTTGACTAATTATAGAGTTTTAAAGAATTCGCTCCTCTTTCATTTCAGATATTAAAGTGATGTTATTTGTCATTTGGACATGAAATTGACGTCATGATAACGTTTTCACATGATGATGAATAACGTCAACTTGCTACATAGAATTATATTATTAGGTATTCTTATTAACCTTTAATACATATAATTAAATCATTCATGCCCTATGTATTTCTTTTCTTTAAAATACTAGATGCATAAAAAAATATAATTATAATACATTTATATACATTTATATACATTTTTTAAATACATACCTTACAAATACTTTAAAGACATTAAAGTATATGTAAGATATAATTACTTAATCTTAATTTTAATAAATTTAAATTAATTTATTAAATTTAATAAAGACTTTATTAAAGAAATTTTAATAAAAAATTACTAATTTTAACAGATATAATTACTTAATTTTTATATATTTTTAAATGTGATAAAAATATCAATTTTCAGGACACAAACAACCCATCCTATAAAGGTTTATTTTCATCACATGTTGCAAACATACTCCAACATCCTCCTACCAAAGTTCCTATTCACTTTGAATGTTGGAGTAAGAGCTACAATAGAAGCATGTGACACGAACAAACTTTAAAGGACCAGAAAAAATTATGTGTATCAATATTAAATAATAACCTTGTTCTTGATTGAACTTGCTCCAGGTTCTTTGTCTGGGGCACTAGGTGCTTTAATAGCATCATCTAAGTAACTAGTATCTTCATCCAAGGCAAGGTCATCACCAAGAGCTTCTAGTTCCGCTGCCAACTCATCATCATCAATTTCTGGCATTCCATAGCTGCGACCCATCGCTTCCTGCACTTCGTCAGCTTGTTCTAACATATCTGCTAAATCATCTTGCATATCCTATATAGCAACATATATAGCATTAAATTAAAGATTTAATCAAAACATATTATAAAATTATTTTCCAACATACTTCGATTTGATCAATGTTAATATTTTTGAATTCCTTTTGCATTTGCTTAACACCTTCTTTCATAGCAACTACAGTTGCTTGGGTATCCTTTAATGTCTGAGTAGCATAGTTTGCTTGCTCCATGTTGAATGCCTGTTGACGCAAGTTATCTACTTGAGCCTCATACATCTTTCGCTGCTTTAACACACGCAGAGCCTTTGCCTTTACTGCATTCTTTGCTGCCCCGTCCCTCATCTTGACCATTTGATCTTTGTACTTCTTTAATTCTGCATCTAGTCTAGCTATCTTCTTTTCTGCAGAGTCTGCCCTACTGTCAACCTTGATGAAGAACATTATGTATTTACAAATAGATCCTTATTGCTTCAAAAAATTAGAAAATACCTGGCTATCAACATGTCATGCCTCAATGTAAAATCAGACTATTCATCTAATCAGCTAATTTTTGCAACACGAATACTATGATTGACGCAGTAACGCAATAAAAAAATAGCAAGCAATAATCATATTTTAACAACAGATTTATCTTCTTTACCCCCGCGATGCAGTCAGTGATACTTGGTGGCGGTTCCTTGGGTTTAGCACGTCCGAAGAGCCTGTTCATTTTGCAAATTAATGTTGATTAAATACACGACGAGATAATTCTTACACGGGTGTTCTGTTCCGCCAAAACGTCAAAACGTAATGATATGCAGAGGGACGGCACTAAAGTGTATTTGCGTAAGGCAACGAAAGACGTGAATTTAGATTGTAAAGTGATTGACGTGAACATAGACACTCTAAAAGTACCTTTTCTGGCCGTGAGTTGGCACTCTATAAAATTTCGGCCACAAGCACACTCTGGCGCTCTCTATATAATATTGCGACTATCTTTGCAGATTCATCGTTTCAAATACCGATACTTTTGTCTTGGTAATTGTTTTTCTATTGCAAAAACTGAGAGTTTCTTTCAACGGATTGTCATACGTTGCTTCGTAGTAACGTCTAAATTGTTTCTAAACAATTAATTAATTACAGAAGTAATATTTACTCCAAGACAATACTTCTTGACAGCACGGTAGGTTTGGAATAATCGAAGGAATTCGAAATCATCTCACTTGCGCAAGGTAAAAAAGATAACAACGGAAATAAATCCACATCCTTTCAAATTGTTTAATTCCATTATCTTATACTTGTTTATTGCAAAAACTCAAATTTTGATTAAAATCTGAAGGTCTAGAGATAACAAAATATATGAAGTTTTCTGTGGCTGAATCAGTGTACTTTTGGAACTTAAAATGAAATATGTATATGTTTGATATTTATCGAAAGCGAGAAAGAAAGTTCTAGTACAGTCTAGTACAGGAACAGAAAACAGACCTATTAATTTTAATTCTATCTGACGTCTGTCGATTATTGACAGCCATCTTAGATTATGATGTTAGGAGCAAATAATTACGTAAAGATCGAAAATTCTTACAAACTACATTAATGATGTGAACATTTTTTAATAAAATATTATTTGCAATAAAACATCCGAAAACTTCTTTTGTGATTTGGTAATCAATAAATATATAACCATTACATATATTTGAAATTGAATTATGCCTAAAAAAAAACTATATATGACTATAGTTGTCAAATGAGATAAATATAATTTCATTCTATTCCGAAATAAAAGATGAGTTTTCGGTATATTTTATAAATGTACTCTCAAATGCAAATATTATTTTGTTGAAAAATATATTTCTATTTTATTATGTTGAAAAATATACTCACACGCAAAAAAAATCGGAACACTAAATTTTTGCACAAATTTTTAATATTTTCAAATAGTAATAATTCAGTGAAAAATCATCATAGCGAAATTTGTTTTTTTATAGACCTCTATTTTTCACCGAGTTATTCAACATTGAAGCAAAAAGGGTCATTTTTGTTTCAATGTTGAATAACTTGGTGAAAAAAAATCGTACAGAAGTCTATAAAAAAAGCAAATTAAAGATTCACTCTTTCGAAAGCCGTGAACCCGTTTTGTGCGCAATTTTTAATTAGCGCTATGGAGCTTCACAAATTTCATAAAAAATTTTGAAAATTTATGCATTTTCGTTTATGTTTGTGTAACTTCACATATAATATCAATACGACCATTTTTTTAAGTACCGATCTGGAAAGTAGAGATTTCAAGCTTTAAAAGGCTTTTTTAAACATTTCGCTACGATGATTTTTCACTGAGTTATTGCTATTTGAAAACTTAAAAATTAAAAATTTGTGCAAAAATTTAGTATTTCAGTTTTTTTTGCGCGTGAGAGTAT